ATATATATATATATAACAATGTAAAATAATTTAAGTTATAACACTAAAAAAATTGTGTAAGTAAAGTATTCAGATAAATTTTTGTCAATTGTACCAGACATTCTGTACACACACGCATATGTATATATAGGGTGTTTCACATAAAGTACGTATTACAAAGTGTTTTCTCCGAAACTTGACGTCGTAGAAAAAAAAATGTTTTAGACAAAATTTATAGAGTTTTGAAAGAAAAAAATGTTGGTAATATTGAATTTTAATTAATAAGGCTATCTTTTAAGATCATGTAAAGGTGAATCTAGGTTTTTTTAAATGGAACCATCCTAATTTTTTTATACAAATCGGTTCCTCGCAAAATTCGGTGTAAAATATTATAAAGGTAAGAGGCCAAAAATAGTTTACGAAATATTTTATACTTTAATTTGACATAATTTTACATAAACTATGAAATATCTCATAAAATATTTATTTTTCGATTATCTTGCCTTAATATTTTTATATACATAATAATAAGTGGAGTAAAGAGAAAACACATCATCGTTTAAAAAAAAAATATAAATTTGCAACGAGCAGCTACACCCTGTATATACATCAAGCTTTATAGTATGAAGATATATATACATATAATCGCTTTCTATGCATCTATAACAGGATGGATAATGCAAATGAATGGTTTCCTTTACATAACGCGACGCTGGGAAGAGGATCGAAGGCGATTGTCGCGTACTCTCGATTATTTGATCGCATTAGATAGTCGCACACAGTTGTTGATATTTCCCGAGGGCACTGATTTGACAAAGAGCAGTAAGGAGAAGTCGGACAAGTATGCCGTGCAGCATCATTTACCACGATATACATATACTCTGCATCCGAAAACGACAGGTTTCGCTTATCTCGCCCAACATCTTCAGCGCGCGAATTATCTCGATGCTGTTTACGATTTAACAATAGCGTATCCGGACTACATACCACAGTCTGAGATCGATCTGATCAGGGGTAAATTCCCGGATGAGGTGCACTTTCATATAAGACGAATATCATCCGCAGATATACCGATGCACGATTTGACTTTAAGGAAATGGCTGGAAAACAGATGGTCTGATAAGGAAGGGATATTGAAGCGATTTTACGAACAGAAAGCATTCTCCGCCGAAATATGGCCGATAAAGAAAACGCTACCGTTACAAGCCGCATTTGGATTCTGGAGTATATTAACAGGTACGTTCTCTTGATATGCATATCTGGATCTTTCACTGTCAGAAAAAAATAATAAAAAAATAATTTTTTTTGATAAATATTTACATTAGATCAACCCCTTCAAAAGATAGTAACTTTGACATATATTGTCAAGATCATGACGCTGAGTAACTGTCTAAGAAGTTTTAGCCGTCTTTCGTTGTTTGTTAAAAAGTTATTAACAATTAAATTGTACGATAAGAACAAGTATTAAATGCGATAATCGGAACTTCTCCGAGCATGAATTTTATATTAATTATACAGGCTGTTCCCGGGTTAAATAGCCAAACTTGAAATATGAATTTAGGACCTTAAAACGAAACAATTTTCCTCTGGAAGTATGCTCGCAAACGCTTCGTTCAAGAGATTGACTTCTGAAGTTATGAACTATAGGAACGAATAATTTCGAAATGTTTCTTTTTATTTTTGTTAAATTATCATGCCTCATACAATTATTTGATACGAATGTACGGAGCTTTGTTTACAGTGCAAACACAAGCCTGTCAATGACCTTCGATCTTCAAAACAAAAATAAAAAGAAACATTTCGAAATTATTCGTTCCTATCAGAGTTGGGCAAAAATGTAATCTAATTAACAATTACAAATTACAATTACAATGTAATTCTTAATGCAATTAATAATTGCATTTTAGGGTGGAGTTCCGAAAAGGGCCCACCTCCGATTTCGATGAAACTTTGTGAAAAGCTTCCTTTCAGGTTCAAATGAAAGATCCTAAAAAGAATTTTGGCGACTTCTCCAAGAAAGTCATTTTTTAAGAGGGTAATTATTCAGAATCACAGCTCCACCTGCAAATGGGCTGCAAAATTTTTTACGGACTTTTTATATTTAGAAAGAAATATAAATAACCATTTTTAGTTGGGGGAGGCCCCCCAAAAAAAGTTATAGACCAAAAAATGGTAATTATTTCGAATAAGGTCTTTTCTGAATTTTGACAAATAT